ACCAAAGGGAGCTGAGCTTGTTGTTGCCAGCCTTGCATGGTCTGTGCTGCTGGAGCAAAGAGAATTCCCGGGAAAGGGGCACTGGGGGGGCTCAGCCCTCCCTGTGGGACCAGCCTGGCTGCAGGGAATGGTCACATCACCCCGGGAACGGCCACTTCACCCCACACAGACGCTGCTGCAGCTTTGGGATGCAGCACATGGAGGGAGGGAGGGAGGGAGGGAGAGAAGCAGCCCCTCAGGGTGCCCCTCCGTGGGGGTGAAGGTAAAGGAACCAGGGCACCTCCAGGTGGTTCTGCCCTGTCCCTGCTCCTCCCACGGGACCAAGGGTGGCTGCAGTGCCCTGCTGAGCTCGGACCGCAGCTGCAAGGCTGCAAATCCCTGAATTCCCAGGGATTTGGCAGCAGCCACAGCACGGTGGGAGCTCTGTGAATGCCACAGGACTTGCACCCCAGCCACGGCTTGGAGTTCTGGGCTCCTGCCCTCCCTCCTCTGGTTTCCATGAGATTTTTGGGTGTTCCCCTTGCAAACCCTTCCCTGGGGTGATTCTCGGGCACAGAGGCAGAGCCTCCCCCGGGCAGGTGCCACCTGTGCTGGAGGTGCTGCTGCAGGGTCCCCAGGCCAGGGGACTCCCCAAAAACCTCCTCCCACCCTGGGCTGCCAGGCTGGCACCCCGCGGGCTCCCCAAGCTCCTGAGCCAACCCCGGGGGGCTCAGCCCTCCCTGGGGGAGGGAGGAGAGGAGAGAAGGCAGAGAGGAGATGAAGGGAGATGTGACCCCAGAAACAGCAGCAGCCCTGGGGCTGGGGACACTGGGGACACTGGGGACAGTCACTGGACCCTCTCTGTCCCCACAGACCCTTTGACCGTGGGCAGAGCTGCCCCTCGGCCCTCTCTCCATCACAGCAGCTCCGCACGGCCGGAGCTGGAGGATCCAGGCGGGAGCGCCCCGATCCCGGTGCCCGGAGCTCCTGGAGCGGGGACACTTCCCAGGACGGACGCGACCACCCCGCCCCACACCCCGGGGAGCCCCGGGCCGTGTCCCTGCTCCTTTCCCTGCCGCTCCCTCCATCCCAAAGCACCGCGCCCCGCAGCAGCTCCGGGGGTGTCACGGCCCGGTGGCTCCGGGGCAGAGCAGCCGTGCGGGGACAATTCCCGGCACGGTGGCGCGGGTGGGCAGAGCCCGGCTGGGGCTCGCACGTGTGGCCGCTCGACGCCCTGGCTGGTGGCATTGTGGCACCGGGGACACGGCTGCACGCCCAGGGTGACATGCTGGCACCCTCTGGTGACAGTCCTACACCCTCCTGCTCTCCCCCACCCCAGGTGACACCTCCGCACCCTCCCCGAGTGACATTTCCTGCATCCTCCCTGCAAGTGACACCACATGTCCTGCGTCCCCCTCCCCTGCTCCAGCGTCACCTCCTGCAGTCCCCCCGGCCACCCAGGTGACATTTCCTGTACGCTCCCCCTCTCCCTCCCCAGGTGACATCTCCTGCCCCCCCCCCCCCCCCGTGGGTGACATGTCCCCTGCGGGGCCGCACCCGCGGTGTCCCCTCCTCCGCCGGGCCGGGGGCTCCGGGCTGGGCGGTGGCAGCGGCCGCGCCCGGCCGAGGTGCCCGCGGGTCCCCGGTACTCACAGCCCGTCCTGTCCGCCAGCTCCCGCATCTCGGCGGGCACGGAGTGCGCGGAGCCCATCCCGGGCCGTGCCGGGAGCGGCGCCGCGGGCGCTGCACCGGAGCCGCCGCCGCTTTTAAGGGCGGGCGCGGCGGGGAGGCGGCGGCGGCGGCGGCGCGGCGGCCCCGGGTCCCTGCGCGCCCCCGCCCAGAGCCAGCGCAGGGCCCGCGGGGGTGGCACCCTCGGGGAGCGGGGACAGCCCCAGAACGCCTGGTGGCACCCTCGGGGAGCGGGGACAGCCCCGGGAGCCCCCGGTTTTGTTTCCCCGCTCGCGGCTCTGGAGCACCCCCGGGGTATCCCGGTGCGGGAATGGGGCCGGGGTCTCCCCATGGATACCCTGCAGCAGCTCCCACCGGAACCCCGCGGCTGCCCCAGGCCTGGCACTGCCCGGGCTGTGCCCCCCTGCGTGGGCAGAGACAAAGAGGGGGGCACAGATGTGACCTAGGACCCCCAAAACCGGGGGGGGGCTTCCCCAGGAGGCAGCTTTGGCAGAGCCCGGGATTCTGTCACCATCTCCCTCCCTGCCAGACTGGCATCGGCGGGGACACGTCACCCTCCCACGGGCACAGGGAAGAGCAAAGCCCTTCCAGGAGTGAAGGCAGAGGTTTGGGAGCAGCTCAAACAGCACAGCACACCGCGGCAGCAGGTAGCAAGTCAGTGTTGTTTATTTGTTTAAAGCCAAATATAAACAGGAAAGGAATGAAATAACTTCCAGCCTCCAGCTATCCAGGAAAATACCTGCTTATAAATAAAAATGGAGAAAGGAGATGTCCCCATCTTGCAACCTCACTTGTCAGTGTCAGGGGCCCTGGGGCTCAGAGCTCCTCACCCCCCATTCCTGGGCCAGCAGTTTTCCACCCAATGTGGAATTTTGCCCAGCCCAGGACTCCCAGGCAGGAGGAGGAGGGAAATACATGCAGCACTCTGTCCCTGCTGCCACAGTCCCCGTGTCCCCCACGGGGGAAGAGCCAGCAGGGAGTTGGGATATCCCTGGAGATGCCCAGGATGGGTCAGGACAGTACCTGGAGCCAGCTCGTGTGCAGGTGGAGGTGGCCTGGGAGGGAGCAGGAAATGCCAGGGACCCTTCTCCAGCCAGAGCAGCCCTTTCCTCCTCTCATCCTCCTGCCCCACAGCTCTCCCTGGCCCCAGGCAGGGCTCCTGGGCTTGGTTTTCCTGCAAAGACTGGAGACAAACTCCCATGGGTCGTCGGAGGCTTCACTCCGTGCTCAAGGCTGTGTCAGGGTGCTCTGTGTGTCCCTGTGTGGCAGGATGGATCCAAAGGGGCTGGAAGTGCTTCCCAAGAGGATCCAGGAGCTGCCCCTCCCTGCTGGAGGGCACCAGCAGCTCCTCAGCCTGGCCTGGAGCAGCAGCACATGGAGACCTCGGCCTCCAAGGGTGGACAAAGCTCAGGGATGCTGAGGCCCACAGGACTCACTCCCTGCCACAGGAAGCCTGGGAATGGCACTGCCTGGAACATCCCTGAGTGCCAACATCCAGTGGCAAAGCTTGGAACCAGCCCTGGCTTTTCCTTACGATCCAGACAGTGAGTACTCCTCGCTTCCTGCCCCTTCCCCCTCTGGATTGTAACACAAGAGCACCGGGGCTGTTCTGTCCCCAGGACAGGTGGATGGTGACACGGAAAGGGAAGGGAGAACACGGCCTGAACTGCAGGGAATTCACCCCCTGCTCCCAAGGACTTTGGCACTGCACAGGCTTTGCACCTGGTGGGAGAGAAGGGAGGCAATTCCACCTTCTCCAGAAAGCCCCACAGCCCTTCCTGGGGGAGCTGCACACGGACAGGACAGGACAAACCCCCAGGGACAGCATCAGCACCACCTTGAACACAGACACCATGGATCCAGACATTACAAACACAAGGGGCTTTTGGGATCCACTGCTGCCTTCCTGGTGAAAAGGTGACTCTGCACTGCCAGGAGGGGAGGGGGAACAGGCAAACCCCAAATGTCACCCACAGTGATGTGGATGTGCAGCCTGTGGGAACTCAGGGGGATTCCAGGGAGCTGTTCCAGCATAGACACAAAGGTATCCTGGGGGGGTTCCAGCTTTCCCTGGATATTCCCTGGGGGAGGTTCCAGCTTTCCCTGGCCACCCTGGATGCTGGGCTGAGGCCTCCCACAGCAGCAGGTGCTCACAGGGGAGCTTCTCACCAAAACCAAAGACTCCACCCAGGGCAAGCAGCACTGGAGCAGTGGGGACACCCTTCCCAAATGGGAAGTCAAGGGAACTCACCATTCCCTTTGGGTTTGTCTCCAATCCCAGAATGTGACTTGGCCCCTGGGCTGAGGTTGTGTGGATAGAACACTGGAACAGCCCACTCTTTTCCGAATTTGGCACCTCCAAGGCTCTGTTGGTGCTCTGGGTAACCCCAACACTCACAGCCTGGGTATGGATGTGGGCAGCACCCAGAGCTGTCTGAGGTCACAGCTCCTCCAGAAACTCCTGCCAGAGGGATGAGGATTCAGCTCCAGGGCTGCTGGGCTGCCCTGAGCACCCAAGTCCGTCCCCTTCTGCACCCCAGGCCACACCAGTGTGTGGTGAGCACCAGCTCCCACACTTCCTCCTGGGCCAGGCTCTTCCCAGGGTATGAGCAGAGTGGCCCCAAAAGAGGGACAAAAAGGGCTCTGCCGGTGCTCTGGGACCCCTGCAGCACCAGCAGCTCTCCAGGTGGGTTGGTGAGCACTGGCCAGGTCCCAGGGAAACTCTGGGTGTTTCCTGCTGGCTCCTGTGGCTCTTCCATGGCACGGCTGTACCTCGGGCAGCTCCTTGTACTGAGGGCTTTGTGAGCTCTGCAATTCCCTGGATACACTGGAGACAGGCCCAGGTGTCAAGAGAAGGGAGCACAAAATTCCAGGAATGTTGCTGACAGCTGGGAATGAGAATGGGGAGCCCAAACCCTGCTCTGCCTGTTCTCAGCTATCTTGGGACTCACCACCCCCATTCCCAACCTTCCATCCCTGCCAGGAATTTTTTGGGATCTGCTTTCAAAACGGGGTTGGAGGGCTGGGGTCTACCCCAACCCTCAAGAGCAAGAGAGCATTTTTGGATTTTTGCCTGAGGATTCCCTACCCTCACAATGGAAATTCCTCCCTCCCTCCACGTTCATGTCAGTACAGAGCTGGGATAGTGAATGTGTCCCTGCCCATGGAACAAGAGGAGCTTTAAGGTCCCTTCCAACCCAAACCATTCTGGGATTCTGACCCTTTAAAGACAGAGCTCTGCCTGGAGCAGAGCCCCCTGAGCATTCCTCACACTGTCCCCACAGGCTGCTCTTCCTGGAGCCCCAGATCCCTGCAGACCATCACCACCAAAGTGCTGGGCTCTCAGCATTTATTTCCACAGCAAACCAGTGCTCAGGGTTGCAGGAGGTGACATGCAGGGCAGGCATTGCTGGAGAGGAGGGCTGTGATTCCACGTGGAGATACCTGTAGTGCATAAGAGACTAAAGAGCATCCACCTACCTCTACAGGGCCCTAATTGTCAGCTCGGAGAGAAGAATTACTGTGCTGCAAGTGGACAGTGACAGGAGACACAAGCTGCAGCTACTCTACACACATTGCTTCAGAAACCACAAAGATATGCACAAACACTGTGTCACTCTGCACCCCACAGCCCCTGAGCCCAGAGGAAAACCTCTTCTGCAGTGGTTCTGCCTGGGCCTTTCAGTCAAGGTTAAAAGTCATGTGCCTCGAGCTGCTAAAGCTCTTCCCTTGCAGGCAGCCAAGTCTGTGTTCCCCTAGAATACGTTTTCTTTTGGCAAGAAGGAAGAAGGCCTCGAGCTGCAGGAATTAACATCTTGCTTCCATAATGGTTTGGCTGACTCCAGGGATGGCCAGGTTCCAGTCATCATTCCTGTATTGCATAAATACCTATTGGAAAATAGAGTTGGAGGTGGCAGCGAGTGGCAGCTCTGTGTCCTTTGAAGTCGCTCTGGTGCTGCCCTCAAGGTCCCACCAAACATCCCCACAAGGTTCCAAATCCTCCTGGGAACACTCACAGCTGTGCCATGGATCCCAGCTTGGACACACACGATGGACAGATCCCAAAACAAGGTCAGGACACGAGCTGGGTGTTTTTCAGCATTGCAAAGGGCCAGGAGCTCCTCCTCTGCTTTCAGAGTCTCTGCCATTGGCGAAGTGGCCACCTGGCCCCCGGGTGAGCACTGCTTGCCACCCCACGAGCCTCACTACTGCTGGTTTTGTAGCTGGAGCTCTTTCCCAGGCCCATAAGGATATTGCCAGGCCCAGAAGGATATTCAGGATTGGAACAGTAGCTCTAGAAACAATCAGACTACAGAGGTGAAGCAATACCTGACCCAAAAATTCAGACAACAGTGAAACGTGATAGACTTTAAAAACTATTGCCTGCATGGGACAGACACTCAAACCAAACCAGACAGACACAGCCAAACAAAAATACTGCCAGGACAAGCAACTTCCTTCTCTGGAAGAGGGGATTCCTCCATATTCCACACCAGGATCTCGCTTTGTTGACCTTCTAAGGCCACCACAGAAGGAGCAGAATGTGCAGATCCTTCCCAAGGACAACACTCCTGGCACAGCTGTCCCTGCAAGGTCCTCCTGCTGGGCCTCAAGTACCAAAGTGTCCCTGTGCCTCTGGGCCAGGATGGGCAGGCAGACAACGGGAAGATGCTGTAGCACCAGTTTCCAAGTTCAATGCAGTTTTCAATGCATTAAGCCAAAGGATTGTCACCAAACTTGCTTCCCACGCAAGTTCTGCAAAGAGGGTAAAGCTACACTCCAGCTGCTTCTGTCCCCAGGCTGCTTTTGGCACTCACTCCTTGCCTGAGCTGTAAATCTTCTGCACTGTGGCTCGGGTGAGCTCCAAATCCTCTGGGTACCGAATTTCCAGCTCGGTATTTGCCAGGTAGTGAACGCCGGTGAACTCGGAGAAATAGCGGCCGATGTCGGGGTGAGGGATCTCACGGGGCTCAGAGTTGTACTCCAGGTTCTCTGTGAGGGAAGGAGAGCAGCAATTACCACCACAGGAACGGCCTGCTGCAAGGCAGGGAACCCTGAGCCTCTCTCAGGCCTTGTTTGTGTTTCTAGAAACACCAAATCTGGTGCTTGAAAGGAAAAAAACACCCTAATCCAGGAAAATGTGCAGAGCAAGTCCGTGTGATTGCCCCCAGAGCCTCACCCCCTGAGCAGGGACATGGGAGCTGTTTTATGCCTGGGATTGCCTGGCATGAGGCTGGAGCAGGAGGATGCTGCTCCCACTCTGCTGGTCACAGGACTTGGTTGTAAGCACAGGGAGAAGCTGCTGCACTGAGCTCTGCTCCTCTGATCCCCTCCAGCCCTTGGGGGATCAGTTTTAGGAGAGATGTCCCTCCAATGCTCCGAGGTGAGCCCACCTGCACAAGGCTGTCCTGGCAGAGGAGCCAAGAGCTTCCTCCCTCAGCCTGTGCTCCCACCATGCCAGGGCTCAGCATTTCCCTGCAGCAAAATAAACCTCCCTAAAGCCAAACTTCCCCAAGCCAAGTGAAAGTCCCTAAGAAGGACACGTTGATTCTTTCCCACAGCAGGAACAGTAACCTTCTTTTCCTGCAGAAAACCTGATTAGGCACAAGAGTTAAACAACACTAAAACCCAAGGGTGACCCTGGCCAAGGGCTGCTCTGCAGTGTGGGCACAGAGCAGGGACTGGGAGTAAATCCCTCACGCTGGAGCCCAGGGATGCAGCACTCCCCAAATGATGTCATTTTTTTCCCAGCACAGTGCCAGATAAAACAGGTAGTATTAACTAGGGAAAAAAAAAGCTGCATCAGGATCAAAGGCTGACTTTGAGCAGGGCAGGAACGAGCTGAGGTACAGAGAATGTCATTCAGGAATAATCTGTCTCTGAAATCCACTTCATTACTGGGAGCAGAGAACTCCTATTAAAATCCATGCAAGCTCTTTGAAGCTGCTGCATGTCAGGCTGTGCAGCCAGCAGCAGCAGAGCTTTCCATGCCTCAGCAGCCTGCTGCAGTCCTAGAGGCCTGCAAAGAACCTTCTCAGATACTGCACCACTGCGGAAAAGAATGTGCACTGCTGAGTGCTCTGCAGCAGCATGGCTGAGCTGGGAGCTGTGCTCAGGGAGCTGCAGGGATGCATGCATGGGGAGCTGCAGGGATGCATGCATGGGGAGCTGCAGGGATGGAAGAGCAGCTGGCAGGAGGAACAGGCTGACACAGGCAGTTCAGCACAAGGTGGGAGCCTCCCAAAGGTGCTGACGAGCAGTTTTGAGCCACAGATCTCTCTCCTGTGCTGTCACAAAGCAAACAAGGCACAGACAAGAGTGGACAGGCACCAAGCTCCTTGAACTACACAGGAGTTCTGGAATGAGCTGCACTCAACCCACAGATTTTCAGGAAGGCCTCAAACTGAGGTACATTTATCTATAATAAGCTTGGGTTTATTTCTGAACTGGTTAAATTAAACTCCACATGAGGATTTGTTCAGGATTCTTTCAGTAAAAAACTCTCCCTCCCTCCCTCCCCAGAGTCAGGTCAGGAGGATATGAAATAATCTTTCCCAAATGATTTGAGGATGTTTTAGAGGGGATATCAAAAGCAGCAAGAACAAACCCTTCACTTTTCCCCAGCAATATCAGAACTCTTGCAGGCCACAGAGATGAGTGATAGCAGTGTCTCCTAACAGAGATAACAGTGTCAGCCTACCCTGCACGAACTGTGGGACCAGACAGGGTTCTGTTTGTTGAAACCTCATTAGACACAAGATAAGTGATGACTCAGCCCCAGCAGCACTCAGGACAATTACCTGATTAGGTAATTACCAAGATGCATATTTTAATATCAACCCATGGCACATGAGAATTTCTGGTTTTAAGACTCTCTGAGGCCAAGTCCTGCCTGATCTGAGCCATCAGGCTTTGCCACTTCATCTTTCTGGGCTTTTGAATATAAAAAAAGCCACTCTGAGGACAGGGGAAACACCTGCACTTTAAATCTATGGAAGGATGAGTGTCCCTGCCTGTAAAACCACCTTTTGTCACACCTCTTGTCACACTCAGGGGAGCAGAACATGAGGGAAAGGGCATTTTCCCTCATTTTCCACCCAGAGAAAGGGCATTTTGGTCAGCATTTTCCCTCCAGCAGCTTCCACATCTTCCCTAGGCCAAACATATCCCTGCCTGGATAGGACTTCTCAGTCACAGGGGGAACACAAACATGAGGCAAATTAACATTTTTACAATGCACAGAGTCACAGATGTGCTTTTCTTTTGTAATTTTCCTCAGAACCTCAGTACAACAGTTCTTCCTGTATCCCAACCACAGACTGTGACTATCAGACAAGAGTTTCCTCTTATGGTTTGTTGCATAAAGCACATGTGACATAGAGATTTCTACACCTCCCTGCACTTGTGAAGAGAAATTAATTTTTGTTCTGGTTAGAGGTGGCACTACCAGCCAGGCTGCCTGTGTTCCATAGGATCCTGGCATGTGACAGAGGCCAGAACCTCGTCCAGACCAGCAACCCCTCACTAAATCCCATTTCCAGGTGTTGTCCAAGGCAAAGCTGTCAGGAGCTGCTGACCTTCAGCAGAGGCTGAATGATTTCTTTCAAAGCAGCCATCAAGGTTCACACCATGAGAATGTCCAAAACATTTCTGGGGCAGCAGAGTGAGCCTTCCTGTCCATCCCAGCAGTGCTGATTTCATGGAGCAAACAGAGCAGACCACGAGTCAGGATCATTTCCTTCCTCCCTCCACCTTTATAACCCTTGTTAACCACACTTAATTAATCAATTAAGCATCCCTTTGTCCTGATGTGGGCAGAGAGTGCAGCCAGGACCCCTGCTCACCTTGGGCAGCATATCTGCAGGAGCCATCCTCCACCAGGACGTTGTAGAAGGGCTGGTGGGGGCCGTGGGGGAGGCTGTGCACGTTCATATTCCGGATCCACTCGTGGCCCATCATGCAGGCAGGATCCCAGCCATAGATCACACAGTTGTAGCCATACCTGGTTAGAGAAATTGCACACAAAGGCTGTGGAAACTCCAGAGCCCTCAAGACTCACAGAGCACAAACAGGATAGGAATCTCCTGAGAGCTGGCACAAGGAAGAGAGGAACAAGAGGGAAAAAAAAAACCCCAGCAATTCAGAAAGACTGTGTTTGTATTTTGAGGTGGAGGGAAATGACTATGAATGACTGGGTAAACAGACAGGAATAAACAGCTGGAGACAGAGGAAAATCAAATGTGAGCAAGAAAAGAGAATAGGAAAGAGCCTGGAAGTCAGCAGGCAGAAGAGGAAGGAAGAAATAAGGAGGGATCAGCCACCCTGCTGGGCTGTGCAACTACTCCTGTGCTCATCACACAGATGTGGCAACCCCAGCACTGAGAACAAAGCCATGACTATTTACAGAACACTGATGGGATAATTGTGAGGTGCTGTAACTGCCATTGCTGATGCCCCCCAGATATGCCCTGGATGTCTCGGTGAGTCAGAGGAGTGGCCAAAGCAACACAGTGCTGGAGGGCAGGCAGGAGCAGGGAATGACAGCACAAGGAAACATCCATAAACTGTCCTGGGAATAGCAGAATCGATTCTGAAGTTGACTCTGTTGCACGGTCCCTCATTAAGTGCTTGCTGCTGTTTCCTGGAGAGCTGTGGGGATGTTACCTGTGTGACAGAGGATGACTCAGACAAGTCATGCTCTCTGCAGTGCAAACATTTGCTCTCTCCAGGCACTCACAGAGTCGCCCCCACGGTCCTGCACAGGACAGATACACGTGCCTGCCATTTCCCACTCCTCCTTGGCACTAAACCCTGCCTCACTGCTGTCAGCTCAAACCCTTCTGCTCTGTTGCTACAGAGCTGGCTGTGGGGAAGGCTCCCAGCTCACCTCTTGTGTTTCATGATGAGCCCAATGGAGAAGCAAACCTCCTTGTGCTTCTCATCCGAGCGGTGCTTGACCTCGGGGCCCAGCTCCTCCTTGCGCCGCTCGATGTGCTCCAGGGTGTGCTGCACCAGGTACCCCACAGCCCCGTGCTGGGAGGGATCCAGGGCCTGGATGTGCTGCAGGATGTCCAGGACCTTCCAAAGCATAGCAAAAACAGCTTCAGGACACAGCAGCACAAGTTATAAACACACACAGATATACTGCTGGAGTCAGCTGTAAGCGCCCTGAGATCTGCCACAACATCTCCACACTGCTCTCTGCTACAGCTTCACCTTCAGTCTGCACACGGCCTTTTCTTGTTCCTTTTCTCTTTGTAAAGCTCCCAGCTTCCATGGAAAGGCACAGCAGCTCCTTAAAACTCAGCCCCATGAGCTCACCACGTCCTGTTTAGTGCCCACAGACCACTTCTCAAGGTTTCTGGTCATGAGAATGCAGTTCCCAGTGTCCCGAAATGCTGCTGGGAAGTGATACCAGATGACTTCTGCTGCTCTTGAGAACTATTTTAACTCAAAAGAACTTCTCAGCATGTCTGTGAGGAGCAAAAATAGGGCAGCACAGGAGGAAATGGAAATAACCTCCACAATGCCTTCCCATGGAACAAGACAGAAAAGCTGCTTGTCTCAGGGTGACTGAAGAACACAAAGCAGCAAGGTCTGCAGATCCACAATTCCAGCCTCCCAACACCCTCTGGCACAACATCAGAGCATCTGCTGCTGTGTTCATTAGAGGCAGACAAAGCAAATTTTAATTTTTTGGTAAAAGCAAGGAAAAAAACCCCCAACCTGTTGTCTAAACACGTTGGGAAAAGACACGTATCTGTCTCAGAGATCAAAGACCTCGAACCCCAAAATCTGCTACACTTTGGCATCTGGCAAAAGGATGGTCTCCTTCATCATAGGCTTGGTCATTAAGTTCAGAGCAGCAGCAGCAGAAGAGGAATGGCAATCTCAGGCTGTTCAGCATGGACAGCAGCCAAAAACCAAGGAAAATCAATTTAAATAAAGGACAGGTGAGTAATTAATGAGAAGAAACACAGCTCAGGCTTCTTGGCCACTTTAATTCTATTAAGAATTAAGAAGGATGTGAAAATCCCGAAAAATCCTAAAGGAAGTAACCACAGCTGCCAGAGATTCTTGGGAATTTTATTTACTGTTATTTACAAATATTTAGGGCAGCATTATGTGTAGCTCTGCAGGATTTTTTAGATTTCCTACCCGTCCATGAATCTGGCAGCCCCTGTCAAAGCTGGTACATTGTGTCCTGTCAGACACAGCATTTTCTCTGGTTAGCTGCAACCCTGCCTGACAGCCTGGAACGACTGGATGCAGTCCTGAAAAACCCAAATTTGCTCATTTCCATTGCATCTGGTGCAGAGAAGTCAGTAAAACTCAGCCCTGGGGTTGGGTTATGTGTTCTGAGGGGCTGCAAATCCAAGCCTGGTGCTCTCCAAACACATCCCTGAGTGCCAGGAAGGGACAGGAAGATCTTTCAGTGCTCCCTATTTTTGTCCAGCTGCCATTTCAGCTCAGTGAGTCCCTCCAATACACAATTTTTTGGTGCTGGTTTTTCTGTACTGACCCTAAAATTTGCTGCCATAAGAAAGGAAGGCCAAGCTTAGCAGAGTTTGTTCTTCAAAGGGAAGGAGGCAGCTTCTCCAGCAGTCCTGTTCCAGTTGATTTGGTGGGAAGAGCTTTGCTTTCTGCTCAGCTGTGCAGCCAATATTCCTGTCCCCTTCCCAAACCTCATAGGTGGAACTGGCACAAGCTCCACTGAGTATGGGGAATTTTGAGCAGGAAAAACCTCTGTGCTGCAGTGGCACACTAAAAAAATTCAGACTTTTTTGAGTTACAGGCTCCTCCCTGTGCCTTCTGATTCAGTGAAAGCCCTGGATGATCCAGACAACCTGTAAATCTCAGCACCTTCTTTCCCACACTCCCAAGATAACAGGACTGGAGTTGTTACCCTGAAGGAAAAGGAATTCCAAGGACAGCAATATGGAGCTGCTTTTTCACAAGAGCCACAGATTGTGTGGCCAAGGCTGGGAGCACAGCTTTGGTTTTATTTATCAAAGATAACTTCTTGAAGTTTTCTGATAAGGTAATTGCTCCTTTCCCAGGAGCCCAGCAGGAGTTTTACCACAACTCAGGCACAGAGCAAGCAGGATGCTCTTGTAACTCACAGTCCACAGTCCTGCTTGCAAGACAAGCTGTAAATCATAAATTATTACTCAAGGCTGCTCCCAAATCTCCCCCAGGACAAGCAGGCAAGAATCATCCACTCTCCCTGCTTCAAATTGATTCCCTGCAATGTGAGAACTCCTCCAACTGCATTTATTACAGAAACAACTCGTGGCAGACTGTAATGCAGGCTGACACAGCCCAAAAATCAATAACCCAGTGTTAATAGTGCTCAGCTTTCCCCAAAACATTCCCCTGAGTGCCCAGGTACCTTTTCTGGCCAGATTCCCAGGTGGAAGTACAACCTGGCCTGGAGCATGAGGTGCTGCACATTGTCAGGGTACATGGCCAGGTACAGGTCCAGGGAGTCTCTCAGGAGCTGGTAGGACTGGTCAGTGCTCTCTCTGCCAGCAGAAAGGAAACTCAGCTGTGAGGCTCTGCTGCCCTGTCCCCAGAGCTCCCAGCACAGGGGTGTCCCCAAAAGGCTGCTGCAGGCTCACAGCAGTGACTCCAGCACGGGCTGCCACTCACCACATCAGTGCTACAAGGAAAAGCTCTCCACAACTGAGCACTGAACTCTGCCCTCCCACCCACTGCTCTTCTCCTTGGGCACATAATCCCACACACAGAATTCACCCTCCAAACCATTTCCTTTTGCTCCCTTGGCACCTAAAATAATCCCCAAAAAATCCTTCCAGTCCTGTGAGTCTGTCTATGGCTGCTTGGGAAAGGGATTATCAGAAGGATTTGAAAACAAAACTTAATGTTCTGCACACCAACAGTATCTCTGAAAATGCTCGTGTGAACATGGGGGCTGTGCCTGCCACAGGACACAAAAAGGCTCTGAAGGGGGACAGTCCCTATCAGCTTTTCACAGAGAAAATAAAATATCTTGTCTATTTTCTTGAGAATTGAGATACTTGTTTCTTTGTGCAGAATAGCTGATCTTTATTGTGCACAGTTCATTTTTATATGGTATTAGAAAGCACTATGTTTGAATTTAATTGGTTAATAATTTCATGAAACTTTGTTTATTGGTCAGTAACATAAAGTGTACATGTCTATTACACTTCTTTATTTTTAGATAGTTTACTTCTTTTTCTTATGGATTCTCATGAGATAGACTTTTTATTTCTGCAGGTGTGAACTGTTTTTCTCACAAGAATAGACTGTCATGTAAAATGATTTTTGTTTTTATATTTTTTTTAGTAAGAACAAGTAGAGTTTTACTGTTATGAGATTCTATTCTCATGAAAGTTAGTAGGTTCTTACAGGAACTTACTAAGCTAGCTATTAGTTTAGTTAAAGTAATAAGGTCTTTCTTTTCTTTCTCTTCTTAAAATTATTCAAACCTATGCTAAGCTAAAAACCCAAAAACCACCAAAAACTCACACCTATAACCCACCAAACCTAACCTAAACCATAACATTTTCCAGCACTGGAGGAACTAAAAAAGAAACTAAATAAACCAAACTACAACCCACAAAAAAAAAACTTCTAAATTTATCATCCCCTCAAAACAGCAAAAAAATTTACTGTTTAGTATTATTCATTTTTATACTAAAAAATACTTTACCTATTAAATAAACAAGTATTTTTTTCCACTTCTCTCCAAAAAAAATTTTCCCCAAACCAATTTAAAAAAAGACTAAAAAAAACCCCATTCAAAAATTTCTTCCCAGATGTACCCTAAACCAAAACAAATAAATATTGTTATAAGGTTTTACCTATAGCTATAAGGTTTTTATTGGTATAAGGTTTTACCTACAGACAACAAGGAACTAAGTATCACTAAATATTTCTGTTTCCACTCAGATGCAGGTGACTGAAAGCCTTGTGACACAGGGAATTTTCAGGATTTCATGAGCTGGGTGACACCATTTGGGAGCAGCAATATTGGGAGGTGCAGACAATGGAGCCTGGGTCCTTTGGCCAGGTGGGGACCCTGCACTCACCTCTTGCCCAGGTTCAGGAGGTTCCCCACCATGCGCTGCAGGACCTCCTTGGAGGTCACCACCCCATAGAACTCCTCTGTCACGTGGTGCCCGATCAGGTACTCGCACTCCTTCACTGTCAGCTGCTTCCCCTTCCCAAAGGCATCGATGTAGGTGTAGTCAAAAATATCTGTGCTTCTGTAGAGGCAACAGAGACAACAAACTGTGAGCAGGGTCTCGTGATAGAGAAGGATTTGCTGTTTCTGTTCTTCCCTCAGCACTTGCAACCCGTGTCCTTCATTCCTCAGCTCCCTCCTAAACTACCTGGTACCTTCTGTCTTCTCCATCATTCTCACATCACCTCATGGGGATTATTATTTCAGGAAATCTGTTTTCTTCAGCAGCAGCTGAGTTCTAGGAAAACTTTCCTAAAGATCTGATCTTTTTCTCTGCAAAGGTTATAATTCCAGATGGAAAACAATAAAACTTCTCCTCTAGCTCTAGAGCAGGAAATCTGTTATTCTTCAGCAGCAACAGAACTGAGTTCTAGGAAAACTTTCCTAAAGATCTGATCTTCCCCTCTGTAAAGGCAGATGGAACATAATTAAACACTCTCACGTAGGTCTGGAGCTGTAAATGCTTTCTGGTTTTTGTCACTGTGGGCACAATTTCAGAGCTCAGCAGGTCACTCACCCTTCTTTCCCTTGACACCATCGCAGGAGGAAATGGCTGGGAAAGTTGACAGGCTCCAGTTTGACTCCCAGCTGCCTGGCAATCGTTAAATAAAGCACAGACAAACTGATGGGAATTCCTGTCCTGCGGATCAAAACCTGGGGGAGAAAAATGTGACAAAAACACGGGCAGGATTTAAGAAAAACATGAATTTCAAGGGTTGATTTCACAACTGAAAATACAACTTGACAGAACATGCACTGAAGGATGATGTATTTATTTAAGAGCTGCTCTTCACTGAGAATTATTTGTCTGGCTACATTCAGACCAGTGAAGTGTCTCAAGCCTTGCAGCCTCCCAGTTTTTGTCTAACACAAACACACACCTGGTGAATGTAGGAATTCAGGGAGTTGTAATAATCCAGCTCATTTCCTTTGTATTTCAGCTGCTCATACAGGACACAGTTCATGGCATCAAGCACCTGCCTCTGAAGTTCCACTTCTGGAATGAGAACCTCTCCTGGAAACACACACAGCAAAATAAAGACTGAGAAAACAAGAGCACTTAACCCTTATGCAATGAAATCTTCACATGGGCAGGCTCAGTCTCTCCTTGAAAGCCAGAAATTACTCAGTGTTTATAAAATCAAGGAGTAAGATGCTGCCTGACCTTGAGACATGATAAACATACACCCTTCTACTGATGATTTTCTGAGACTGGCAGGAAAGGGATTCTTTCCCAGCCCCACAGCTCAGGACTAGTAAGATTTCATGGACAAGTGGGAAAAAAATAGAATTCCCCTCCAAATTCTTTTAGCATCGGATGGACTGAACCCTGGGCTACTGAACAGCTGTTTCTTGAACGATGGCTTAAGTAAATGTCAGAATTTTGTTTGCTAGGGGATAAAAACAACAGCTCTTTAAGCTGCCACAAGTCCACAGCTGTTTCAGCTGTGCAGAGGTGCAGGAAGGCTCTGCAGGAAGGCACATTTCTGTGCAGCACCTGCAGGAGAGCACATTTCTGTGCAGTACCTGCAGGAGAGCACATTTCTGTGCAGCACCTGCAGGAAAGCTCTGCAGGAGAGCACATTTCTGTACAGTACCTGCCTTGGAAGCCAAGCTGGGGTGCCTGGGGTTCTTGGTCCGCAGCACTTTGCGCACTTTGTCTGTGATATCGTCCACCTGAGCCTGGACACTCTTCAGGCAGATGTCTGACAGGGGGTTACAGTACTGATCAATCAAAACAGCACCTGCAAAAAACAAACTACATAAGAAACAGGACTTCAGTTTTCTCTTTGCTTGGTTTTGCCTGCTCTACATTCCAGGCATGCAGCGAGTGGCTGCAGCAGAACAGCAGAGCTCTGTGTTTGAAACGTGCAGTCATCTCCTGGATTTGTCACACAAACTGCACAGACTGAGCTGACATGAGGAATTACCAGCTGAACTCGGTATTCCCCTCTCCACCATGCTAAAAGGTATCTGTACCTTGAGCAGGAATGCTGCTGGATCAGGCTGGATCAGGCTTGACCAGCTCTGTGCTCACACTGCAGCCCCTGGCATCCACCCAATGTACAGAGATTTTTATTCAGAGCCTGAAACAACGCCAGCTTCACTCAAACTGCCTCAGCTCTGATTTCCCTGTCACATCCTCCATATCACCCTTGTTCAGCATTTCCTTGTCTGCTACATTCATCTTTCTCTTCCACACCTGCTCTCCATGTTCCTAACACAACACACAACAAACTTTCATGTTCCTCCTGCCCAGGCCTCTGCAGGAAAACACTTCCTTTTCACAGAAGCTCCTCCTTGGCACCACTGATCTTTCCAAAGCCTCCTCCTGTTCAATCTTTGGAATTAGCTGTAAGGATTTTGCATGGACCACAGCTCTTCTAGCCTCCTACATGGCTTTGGCAGCATGTCCATGACAGGCCTGGAAACCAAGGAATTCAGCAGGGCCACATGTCTTTTTTTTGTCCTCCCAAAGATGACCAGGTGAAAATTCCCAAAAAGCTTCCTGCTGGTGCTCGAAAGGCACCTTCATGGCAGACAAAATCACATGTATTTGTGACCTACATGACTAAGCCTCATAATTAATGTGTTTTTTTCTACAAAAGGCCACTTTTTGCTTTCCCTTCTTGCCCTACAGCCCATTCTTCAAAGCCTATTGCATTAAAAAGTGTCAGCTTTGGTGTTACAGCCTCTTTTGTCCTCTTTCAGGGACATTCTGGAGTGTGCATCAAGAGCAAGGGACTCTTTTACAGCCCCTGGCAGCTTCTGAGCCATTCAGAAGACAGGAGAATAATCCACCAGACTGAGGACATGAAGAGCAGAAGAAGCAGAAGAAAGAGTTTTTTCTTTCTTAGCAGGTGTAAGTGCCCTCCCACCATGTGACTGAACTTGGATTTGTTTCCCATCAAAGTCCAGCACTCAGTTCTTGAGACACTCCTAATGCTCAGGCTGCAACAATTCCCTCTGCTTGCTCCCTGCCCTTATGTGAGGAGTTCCTGGGAAAGGGGAAAGCAAGGAGCTGACAGGGAATCAGCTCAGCTGAATGCATCCCAGGGGCCACAGCAGCAATGTCAGCAATTAGGATGTTGAGCTACAGCTCATTTTCTCAGCACCCTGCTCATGATTGCAGTGTTGTCCCATTTCTGCCTTCAGTGCTGTGTGCAGGGGTGATTCTGCAAGCACACAGCACTGCCAGCACCTGATGTCACCCTGACATTTCGATGCAACGCTGCTGGGGGATGGGAAAGATTTCAGGCAGATCCAAAACCCAACCTGCCAGAGGCTTGCTGGAATCTAAGCAAGGCAGGATCCTTGCAAGTCCAACCACGATGGAGAGCTGTGAGAGCTGTCATTAGGAGTTGTGGCTGGGCTTTCTGCCAGGACTCACCCTCCAGAAAGGACTGTCGCTCCGTGGGGCGCTGCAGATACTCCTTCAGGTTCTTTAATATGTTCTGCTGCCGTAGGAAATAGAGAATTTTCTTTGCATAGTACTTCCAGGTGAGACCTTTCCTGCACAGTTAAACACAAGAAGAAGCATTTCCCTAAATAGGTATTTGAAGGGTGAATAGGTGGTTTAAGTTTTCCAGTGAATACAAGTTTACAGTTTAGGTTGTTTTTCTCAGCGAGTACTGTCACTGAAAGTCAACCCAAAAGGGGAATATTGAGAGGAATTTATCAGAAAAAGCCACACAGCTTGCAAAACATTGCTCCTATAATCTCCAATTTTCACCCCATCACTGATACATTATTCTGACAAGATACATTATCATGGGAAACAACACAGATCCTAATTAAAGGAGCTCAGGAATATCTGATTAAAATCCTAGACTTTATTCATAAAACATTACCCTCTGTCTGACTGCATCTCTCCAGAGCCACTCCTAAAGCATCCTCTCAGCTTTAAAAAAGGACTGATGAGGGATATGAATGTGAGTGCAGTAGCATGCAGAAGAAAAACAAAATTCCCCAGAGGAAAACCAACTCTGTGCCTGTGAAGAGGCAGGGGGAGCTCAACAGCTTGTCTGTAGATAACACAATTCCAAAACTTTTTACAGAAAAGCCCCACCACTTTCTAAAGCACCTCCATCCTCCTGGACAGCAGGACAATCAAATCTCATAATATTTTATCTTCTTCCAATAAACTGGGATTCTCAATAGGGACAACTGCTTTATTAGGATATCTTCCAGGGAAATCATTTAGCCTAATGCTCCTGAATTGCAATGACTACAGCTTAATCAGGGTGTAATTAGCATCAATTCTGCTTTATGGGGAGGCATTTGGCCAGTGCAAAGCCTCAAAAGCTTTTTAACCAGTTGTCAAACGAGAGATGCTCAGGCCCAGTTCAAATAGGGAAGGCAATAAAATGGATGGGGAAAGGCAAAAATGAGATGATTGCTATTCCAGTTGGGTTTTTTCGAGCTCTACTAACAGTCCCTCTAATCAAGGCTATTAGGCCCCATTAAGACATTTATCACAGCTTTGTATCACATTAAACCCAGCCTGGGTAGGTGGTACCAGCAGAAAAACCTTCAAATAAAGCAAATAAAACCTTCAAATAAACTCACTCATCTTGCTCAGTGTTAATCAAGGTGATGAGATTACCCAGGCAGATAAAAACCAGGAGTTTTATTTACCACCTGTCTGAACAATTTACAGAACTGCAAATTTTGCAGTGGCTGAATTCAACTCAGTTGCTTCTTTGGGGACAAAAACTGGACTAACCTACTCCAGCTCAGAAAAGGAAAGAAAAAGCTGGAATTTCACAGTACAGGGATTCATGGTGGCAGTCCTGAAGGATTCCTGCTTCCCTTTGGTGCTCTGGACTAATCTTGTAAATCAATTCAGCAAACTGATCCAGGCTTAAATCAAAAAGGAACAAGAGGATGGGAAATGCTTAGGCAGAGATGTGGGTGCTTGGGATATGTCCCAAGAGATGCCATGGGCTGGCAAGGCAATGAACAACAAAAAGCAACACAAAGCCAGAGGATCTTCTTCTTGTGGGACAAGGTTTCCATGGTTTCCTCTGGAAATGCTAAATTTGTTCTGAAATCAAGCCTGGGGGTGCTTGTTTAATGAGTGACCAAGGGCAGAAGCTGAAGTCAGGCATTAACCAGGGTATTTTTCTCCTTGAACTGGTGAAAGAGAGAAAGCCCTGCCCTTTCACAGCCCTCTTACCTTCCTTCCATGTTGAGGATACACATCAGCTCATCCTCAAAGAAATGGCTGGGGCACCCCAGAGTCTCAATGTCACTGAATCCATCACAGGGGACCTGCCAAGGCAGACAAGGAGTTATGCACAGCACAACAGATTCTCCCACAACTTCAGAAAAAGTCTCAAAACCAAATTTGTCCATTTTTTTTTTAATTTATGAAAGATCTTAAAAAAGTCCTGCTCCCCAAATACTCCCACTCTGTATTCCTGGATTTATTATTCCATTCCATTATTCCCAGGAACATCCTATAGCAATTTCAGCCAAATTCTACAGCATTTAGGGCTAGTTCAGGGCACAAGCTGAAAGTGATTTTAAGGTGGAATCAGCTTCTGCCTGTGGTTGACAGAACCTCTCCACACACCCCCCTGTGCAGGAGACTCATCCTGGGTGAAGGAATGAAGAGGCAGGAGCCTTTATTTTCTGCAACAACCACTTCTGCATCTAAATTCAGAGCAGCTATTTTCTTCCAGAATCCAGAATTACTTTTTAAACTTTGGCTGAACTGTAAAAAAAACCTGGTTTTCAAGCTTTTCACTATGGGATATGGGCTCATATATGGGTTGAAAGCCTTTTCCTCTCAGTTCTGAGCAGGGAATCAAGCTGCAGTTTTTGGCCCCACAGGAGATGGTTCTCACCATGAGGCCTCTGGGTACTGTTTAATGGTCTCTCCATAGTCTGTGCATACATGATTAAAACAGGAGGAATCCAGGAGCTGCTTCTCCCAGTTAATGCTCTGACAATTCTCCATGGACAAATGTGTGGCTGCTGCAGAACTGAGCAGCCAGGAGACACCAAATACCCACCTGGCCCCACTGCCTTCCTTCTGCACAGAAACCATAAAAGGGGGGCTGCTCAGTAGCTCCTGTGTGGAATTCTGAATTCAGCCAAACTTACAGGCAGCTTTTATGCTTTATTCACAGAATTCCAGGCTAACCCAGCTGTACAGTTTGCCAAAATCCACAGCCACCTACTAAGCAAACAGCCAAGTAACTCCTGTTCCATGTGCCAGTGTGAGACACCACATTTTCACCTTTTCCCTGCTGAACACAGACTCATCTCAGGGTCATGGCTGGCTGCAGAACTTCACACACACACTTTGCAACTGAGTGGCCCTGTTGTGCTTTGCTCCTGAACTCAAAGGGCCTGTGACAGCTCTCAGAAGTCGTCCTTGCACAAGGTCGTCAGTGAAAATCAGCAGCTGTGCTTTGTGTCAACAAACTCTGTGGCCTTCAGGATTCCCAGAGCCAGGGCTGAACCCCCAGCAAAAAGCAAAGAGCAAAGGACTGAATGCAATCCCAGAGTGTGCTGCACTCCACACACCTCTTTGCATTTGGAACTCTCTCCCCTTTTGGCTGTGTTTCAGCACATTCACACTAAGTCAGGAAATACAAAATCTCTGACTGCACAGTTGAGGAGATGTGGAGAAGGGGGCAAGAGAAACTAACGAAAAGTATGGATCACAATGGAGGAAGGGTGAATCTTTGAATTATTATGGAATATCCTGAACTACCACAAGGATCATCTAGTCCAGCTCCTGGCCCTGCACAGACATCCCAAAATCCCACCACATCCCTGGCAACACTGTCCAAACTCCTGGAGCTCTGGCAGCCTTGAGGCTGTGCCCATTCCCTGGGGAGCCTGGGCAGTGCCCAGCACCCTCTGGGGGAAAAAGAACTTTTTCCTAATATAAATAATAATAAAGACTAAATAAACACATTTTTAAAAAGGCACTCTCCTTAAGAAATAAACAATATTTGAATGGTTTAAGATTTTTTTTAAAGGAGAATACACCCTGGTGATGTGAATGCTCAGGCAGTGTTGAGAAACAGCCTCAAGCTGCTCCAGGGGAGGTTCAGGTTGGATATTGGGAGAAACTGATTAATTGAAAGGGTTGCCATTGGAACAAGCTGCTTGGGAAGTGGTGCAATCACTGTCCTTCAAAGAGTTCAGAAAATGTGGAGTGCTTAGGGACACGGTTCAGTGGTTGGACTTTTCCATCCTTAATGATTCAATTCATGATTTCATTAATTATTCAATCAGACAAGTGGCCAGGCTGCTGCACACACACGAAGAGAGGAGGACTTACATGCTCTGAGAAGAACCTTTTGGAGAAGGAAGCCACAATTCTCTGTGCTTCCAGCCCTGCATTGTGCCGTGCCTTGTACTCCTCCAGCCAGCTGACACTGTCACTGTGGCTGTAGTACTTCAGCAGGGATGGCCACCTGCACAGACACACACAAATTAACAGCATCATTAACATTTCACATCCCTCCTGAATGACCTGAGGAGCTCACACAGTGCCCAGACACTGCCCAGCTTTACACTGTATTAAATTCCCTCAGACATCAAAGCACAACTCCCTGATTGCAGCTGTGCATTAATGATTATTTAAAAGCAAGCTCTCCTGAAACCTTCAGAGGCTCTCACTCCAGGATTTCAATACCTAAACATCCTAAATGCTTCAGTTTTATAATTAAAAGAGTTTACCACAAGGAAGTGTCACGTGGAAGCCAACCTGGCACTGAACAGAAGGGGAATTCTTTGTCCTGTGTTCTTCCTACCACCTCGGGGAGCTCATTAAAAGGCTGCACAAAACACAGATCCCTCCACTGCCCTTGCTGGTGGCAACATCTATGGGAGGAAAACACAATCCTGAAGTCAAATTGTGACAGCTAAATTGTGACAGTTCGGTTCTGAGAAAGAAACAATTGTTTGAAGAAAAAAAAAACCAAAACTTCCCAGCTTTCTTGTAAAAAAACCCTCTTTTACTGAGACTCAAAGTCCAAACATTTCACAGCTTACTCAGAATTTCAAGGTTCAGCTGAAAATCCAACTTTAGGGCATGCTTTGGGGGCTGTCAGCAGCACCTTTCTGAATAAAGTGGGTGTGTGGTGCCACAACACAGCTTTGTGCCATAAAATACGTGCCAGGACTGCAATTCCTGCTGCTGTGAAGACACAAGATCGCTTGTGTGAGAAACATGAACAAGAACCAGCACAGATGGAAATATTCTGGAAAGAAAGCTGAGAGAAAGGGGGATTTATTTCACATTTTGAAATGCTGCTCATCATTACTGGTTTATACAGAACATTTTCCTTCAGCTCCAAGGGTTGTTTTATGTTCTTTTCAGGTTATATATATATATTTATGTATTTAATTTACCAAATACTGAAATCACTCCTCCTGTATAATAATTATTACCAGTGTCTAAACAACACTTGGAAGATATTTCACTGCTGGTTAATAATAAAACTCCCCTGCACTTGCCTCCACAAAATAAAGTCAAATAACCTCACATTACATAATAACCTCCCTCCTGATGAATCCCTGGCCCTTCAGCTACTGCTGAAATCCAGTCACCTCCCAAGAACCACCACAGTCCTTTATTTTGGGATGAGAAAGGAGAATTCCATGGGGTGGGAGAACAGTGGGAATTTTAGAAAGATCAAAGTGCCATTGCTCACGATGGAATCCAGCCAGCATGGCGAGGTCAGGGTGAAACCTCCTGCCAAAAATTCCATTATCAAGGGGAGAGGAGGAGAGCAGCATGTGCTAACCATCCACCACACCCCATTCCAGCTGCTGGATCCCAAGCAGGGTGAAACTTGCAGGAGCTGCAGCCACTGCACTGCTGAAAGTCAATCCCAGAGCCATGGTGTGGTGGGGAAGCTGTAATTGTTCAGCAGCGTTTTTTCCCCTCATGAAAAGGGAAAGAAAGCAATTCTGCTGCTTCTCCTGTGCCAACACACACAAAAGCAGGTAAAGGATGAGCAGGTGCTACCCTGGGGGAAACAAAACAGCAGCAAAACACATCCCAAGGATTTGGGTATGTGTGAGAACAGCTCTCCTCAAATCCTCACAGACAAACACCTCTCTATCCAGCATCAGTCCTCAGAAGGGTCTTGGCTGCTGTTTTGGGAGCTCCTGGAGGGGTCGGGGGGGCCAATCCACAACCCCAGTGCTTGGCTGCACTGCCAGAGCCCGGGCTGGACCTGGCAATGCAGGGGATCCACAAAAAGCGTGGAAAGGGCCACAAAACTGAGCCCCGGCCAAGGGGGATCCCCTGCGAGCAGCAGGCTCAGCCTGGACCCTCCCCACGGGATCTGGGAAGGGAGGGAGCCTTGTGGCAGTCCTTGGAGCAGGGCAGGCCACCTGCACGGAGAAACTGCTGCTGCCCCATCCCTGGAAATGCTCCAGGCCAGGCTGGATAAATCTGGAGCAACCCAGGACAGCGTAAGGCGTCCCTGCCCATAGCACAGGGATGGGTTTAAAGCTCCCTGCCCACCCAGAGCGCTCTGCGACCCCACGATCCCGCCTGGAGCGCCGCGGGCTCATCCAGCCCGGCAGGAAGGAGCTCACCGTGGGGCCGGGAAAGCACGAAGGGATCGGGCAGGGACGGCGGCACTTCCACTACCCCCGGCACAGGCCACCCTCCCCGGCCGGCCCGGCCCGACCCTCCACGGTGCCCCTGAGCGCCGGGGGTGCCCATGGGGGAAGGCCGGGGGTGCCCACGAGGGAAGGCCGGGGGTGCCCACGAGGGAAGGCCGGGGGTGCCCACGAGGGAAGGCCGGGGGTGCCCATGGGGGAAGGCCGGGGGTGCCCATGAGGGAAGGCCGGGGGTGCCCATGAGGGAAGGCCGGGGGTGCCCATTCCCTCCCCTCCGCGCCCGGACAGGCCGGGCCGACTCTCCCCGGCGCCCCTGAAGTCCGGGTGTGCCGCTGAGCGCCGGGGGTGCCCCTGAAGACCAGGGGTGCCCACTCCATTCCCTCCCCTCCGAACCCGACCGGCCCGGGCCGACCCTCGCCGGTGCCGCTGAAGGTCCAAGGTGTCCGTGAAGGCCGGGGGTGCCCGTGAAGGCCGGGGGTGCCCCTTCCCTCCCCTCCACACCCGGGCGGGCCGGGCCGTGCGGCGGTGCCCACCTGAGGCGGAAGCGCTCCCGCCACACCTTGCCGCGGGGCTGGCACGCTTCGCGCAGCCGGCGGCAGGTGCAGGAGACGCGGCCGATGTCGGCGGCGCCCAGCACGTCGCAGCAGAGGATGAGCTCCAGCAGCTCGCCCGGCAGGTCCGTCAGGCCCGTCCCGCCGCCGCTACCGGACCCCGCCGCCTCCGCCGCCATCTTGGCTGTTTACCTGCGCTCCGGGGCCGCCGGCGCTTCCGGGGAGGGGCGGCCCGGGGAGCGTCCGCCAAGTGCGGCCTGAGCGCCGAGCGCACAGCGGGCAAGGGAGCGTCTGACAAGTGACGGTGGGATAATTGATAAAAGATTCGCGTTAATCACAAAAGATTGGGGTTTGTATAAACCAGAATACCGAGCTCTGAAGTGAAGCATGGACATTATATAATAAAGTCATTCTGTTTAAAATCACCTTGTTATATTATGTTGTATTATGTTACGTTATATTATGTTATGTTTTCCAAATAAGTTGTATCGGCTCCCAGCTTGCAAAATCAGACTTCCCAATAGCCTTTCCTGCCTTTGTCTGATCAATGCTGCCTATCCCAAAAACCAGACTCCCAGAACTTCTCTGGTGGTTATCTACAAGGACCAGATGGCTACCTGTGACTGATTATCCCCAAAGGCTTTGTGAATTTGTGTAAGGATGTTTATTCAAACACCACTGCTTATGACAACAAAAATTCCCAAAAATTATTGATGACAACGAGAAACCACAGTATAAGAAGAGGCTTCAAACCAAGGTTCGGTGGAGCGTGGGGTGAGCAGTGACTCCTCACATTCCCCAGTGCGATGCTTGCTCTTTCTATATCAAATAAAGCAATCTAAATTTTGCTGAATATCGAGACTTTTGTCTCTCATTTATAACAACGGGAAAGAGCCGGGGAGCTGTCGGTGGTACTGGGGTCGGAGAGGGGCACGGTGGGGGCTGTCAGCAGCCAAAAAGGGAAAGAAATCGATGGGTGTTATATTGGAAATGGGGGGCAAAAAAGGGGCTCATTGATGGGTATCGATATTGGAATGCAAAAATGGGGCCTCATCAATGGGTATCAGTATTGAAAATGAGGCCAAAAAGGGATCTCATCGATGGGTGTCAGTAGTGAAAATAGGGGGCAAAAAAGGGGCTTCATCAATAGGTATCAATATTGGAAATGGGGGGCAAAAAGGGGTTTCATTGATGGGTATCAATATTAGAAATGGGGCCGAAAAGATCCTCATCAATGAGTATCAATAAAGGAAATGGGGGGCAAAAAGGGGACCTCATCAATGGGTATCAATATTGGAAATGGGGGGCAAAAAAGGGACCTCATTAATGGGTATCAATATAAAAAATGGGGGGCAAAAAGGGACCTCATCAATGGGTAACAGTAATGGAAATGGAGTGCAAAAAAGGGGCCTCATCGATGGGTATCAATATTGGAAATGGGGCCAAAAAGAGGCCTCATCAATGAGTATCAATAAAGGAAATGGGGGGCAAAAAGGGACTTCACCAATGGGTATTGAGATTGTGAAAACAGGGGGCAAAAAGGGGACCTCATCAATGGGTATCATATTGGAACTGGGGGGCAAAAAAGGGCCTTCATCAATGTGTATCAGTATTGGAAATGAGGGGCAAAAAGGGGACCTCATCAATGGGTATCAATAGTGAAAATGGGGGCCCAAAAGGGGACCTCATTAATGGGTATAAATATAAAAAATGGGGGCCAAAAAGGGACCTCATCAATGTGTATCAGTATTGGAAATGGGACCAAAAAGGGACCTCATTAATGGGTATCAATATAAAAATGGGGTGCCCGAAGGGGACCTCATCTAATCAATACCCAATGTGTATCAATAGCTAAGAGGTGGTGCTCAGAGGGGACTTATCAAAATGTATCAGTATTGAAAAGGGGGTGCCAAAAGGTGGGTATCAATATCTAATATGTGGTGCCCAGAGGGGACCTATCAATGTGTATCAATATCTAAAGGGGTGACAGAGGGGACTTCATTGATAGGTATAAATATCAAAAAGGAGGAGCTCAGTGGGGACTTATCAATGTGGATCAATATCTAAAAAGAGGTGCCAAAAGGGGATCTCATCAATGTTTATCAATATGTGAAAGGGGCAGCCCAAAGGGGACCTTTGCAGATGTGTGAAGGAACATATCAATGTGTAAAAATATCAAAAAGGAGGTACCAAAAGAAGACTTATCAATGTGGATCAGTCCCTATAGGGGGTGCACAGAGGGGACCTCATCAATAGGTAGAAATATCTCAAGTGGATCAATGTGTGTGTATCAATATCCAAAGGCTCTGTGCCAGGGCCTTCCCACCCTCCCAGGGAACAATTCCTCCCCATTATCCCACCCAACCCTGCTCTATGGCAGTGGGAAGCCACTCCCTGCCCATGTAAAAAATCACTCTGCCTCTTTTTTAACAAGCCCCCTTCAAGCAGTGGAAGGATCCCCCTTACATGGGAAAACCTTTTTCCCATGGGAAAAGCCATGTCCATATTTCTGCCTCATTCCCCTGGCTGCTTTCTGCCATTTCCAGGTCTCAGCCCTTGCCTGCACTGCTTTTGCTGTGCTCCCAAGGCTCCAAAGCTCTAGATTGCACACAGCCAGCCCTCCTTTCCGGGCTGTGACATTTCCCCCGAGGCCATGGAATAATGACGAGATCCATGGAATGCTGTGACTCAGGCCACCTCGCCAGGCAGTGTCTGTGTCTGGCAGGTGAACAGGTACTGCTGATTGTCACTGCTATTTTTGGCACCCTGGCATTACAGGTGGCAGAGCAGAGCGAGGCCAAGGCACCAGCAGAGACCTTGAGCAGCCTTTGGTGTTAAAAACCCAGAGAGGAGAGAACACCTGCCAGGTTTTAGTTCACTTTTTTATTTTGACTGTAATGCAAACAGGCATAAGTATTCCATAAAATCAGAAGATCGGGACTATACAGAGAGAGGTGCATGCTTCAGAACAACGTGGATATCTTGCAAACAGAGCCAGAGTCAATCTGAGAGAGGGGCTGGAGCACGGGGAACGAGTGGCAGAGATTTTAGCAGCATTGAGAGCTCAGAGGTAGGGGAAGAACCACGCTTCTGGCTGCTTAAAGCACTGGCAGGATCACACACAGCTCAGGCTCAGCCCACCCCTGTGTCCCCAGCACAATCCTGCCCTGGGACCACACGAAAAAATAGCTACAAAAGGAGCTCCCCCTGCTCCACACACACGCCTGTGGGATGGGATGCAAAGTGAGAGTGCCAGGCTCAGATCTTGGCATCATTTCCTCGAGCGGATGAAGGCACAGTGACATGAGGGTGTGAGGAGCAGAGAGCAGCCAGGGCTGGGAGCCCCACCAGCCCGGCAGGATTCACCCACAGCTGAAGGTTTCACAATGACAAATTCGGGAGTTCCCTGCCCCAAAGCTGCCACCTTTCCCAGCCCAGTCCCCATCCTCATCGTGGCACTGCTGCTCTTCAGGAAAAGGCCACCAGAAAATTAAAGACTCCAACCCAACCTTTGAGTCTGAGACTAAAGGTGCCTGGGGGAGCCGAGGGGATAAATCCCTGCTCCTATTACAAAAATTAATTGGCACTGAATATCAAATTCCCTGGGCAGCTGGCAGAAGTGGTGTTTTTAACTCTGTGCAATCTAAAAAAGCAATGAGTCCCGGCTGAAAGTCATCCTGTGCCTGGGGAATTGTGTGTGCACTCTGGAAAAGCTGCAGACTGCTCACAAAGCACACAGAGCCTGGGGTTTTTAAAGGCATTTCGAGGCAGCAGAGCATGGGAATTCAACCTTGGGAATCGTGGGGATTTGCCTATATTGTAGGATTTCAGCAAAGCAGGGATTTTGCACTGAATCTCACTCCCAGGGAGATTCTCCAACCCCATCTCCTGTTCCTGGGCATCCTGTGGGCTACTGGGAAGTGGCTTTTGTAAAGACAGGATTCCATATCACAATCACACGGAGAGGAGAACAAAAAAGCAGGCTCAGAAGCAAGGAGCATTAATGTCTCACTTAATTAAGGCTGTTTTGTTGCCCTTGATAGATTTTAAAAATCTCCCCCAGCAGTTATTGTAGGAACAAAAGGTTTGATTTAATCCGAATTTGATACACTGGCTGTTTGCTCTCTGCTTTCCCCACCCCAAAACCAACACATGAAAGCAAAGCAACAAAAAGAAGCCCTGAATTAGTTCCTCTCTTAGATCAACTTTTCCAGTATTTAGCCTTTCAATTTTCCAGGTATTAAGGATGCCCCTGGAAGGAAAATACTTTGCCTGGTGTTTTTCCCTCACAGATTTCTGCACCAGCCCTGCATCCCAGTGCAGTTCCTGCTTTTCCACACCTCCAGAACAGCTCTCAAAGCTTTGGATACAAGAGTCTTGCCCAATTCCTCACCACAGGAATGAGGAATAGCTGCAAAACTTTAGCCTGTAGGCTCCTGATAAACCAGGAATTCTCAGGGCCGGGCTCACAGGTTTAATTTGCTCACTTGGAGGCGCTTTTTCCTTCCTCTCTCCCCAGAATGTGGCCAGGTGGGACGTGGGTGAGTAAGGCAGGAGAGCAGCAGCCCTGGCAGTGAGGGGCTGCCACTGCTCAGCTCCGAGCTCACAACCTGCTGGGGCTTTATTCCTGTGCTTCCAGGGCTCCAATTTCCATCACAGTCAAATATCTGGAGGGTTGGAGGCCAGGAATTGCCAGTCTGCTTCATTTTCCCAGCAGGAAAAAAAAAAAAAAAAAGGTGGATCTGCATGGCAGTGCTTGGACATCCCACGAGTTTCCCTGTGCTGAACCAAGCTGGTCCTAATTTCACCTCTGGAACCAAGTGCTTTAAAGCAGCAACTTTCTCCCTCTCCCCTGACTCCCTGCTGAACACACACAGCCACGTGGAAGAAGCTGGAGCTGGAATTTTCCTGGGAAAGGGGAGATTTCCCAGGGATTGCTGGAGCCATGCATTGCAGGCACGTGCAAGCACTGATTGACACACGCAAAAATATTCTGAATTTGCTGCTGCTGCTGCTGCTGTGCAAGCTGCCAAAATCCCCAGTGCCACTGAAGCCAGCAGGTGTGGAAGGCATTTTGGATCTGGGAGGACTTGGGTTCCAGGCTAATTTAATCCAAGTTCAGGATTGCAGGTTTTTCAAGAGCGCTGGCCAGATTTTGCAGAAGGAATTGTTGTAACAAACACAGAGTTACAGCAAAGTCGAATGGTCCTGAAAATGTGTTTCCATCTGTTCTGTGAAGGGACTGTGCTCCCCTCTGGAACTATCAACACAACTGCAGAATTATCAGAGCAATTCTGAAGCTGAGAACTAGTCCCCGGTGAAAGCAGGAGCAGAATTTAATTTTGAGCATAAAAATTATCCTTCCAAAAAGTGGTGGGAACCCTCAGAGGGCAATGGAGTGGCTTCAGTGTCAGAAGTCAGGAGGCAGCAGCTCGGGCTTGGGCTTGGTGCAAGTCCAGGAGGCTTCAAGCACAAACACAGCCTCACCCCCCAGTTTAATGAGAATGGGATGTGGAGAGTTCACAGCCCCAGTCTGCAGCCACTGAGGCTGTGACCTCTCCCCACCTCCATCCCCCTGTGAACCCCACCTTGGGGAGATGGCTCCCGGTGATCCCAGGGGGAATCTCCCCACCCGNGAGATGGCTCCCGGTGATCCCAGGGGGAATCTCCCCACCCGTGGAAGGCAGAGGGCAGGAGCTGTGCCGTGCTCCCTCCCCAGCCCAAGGCACTGTGAGCCCGAGCCCATCCCAGCACATGCACTCCCAGGTGGGCAGGGAAGGGAGGGATCTCCAGGGGGAAACAGCCAGGATGGGATGGGGTGAGAGAAATCCCACCCTGACAGGAAAGGAGCAGCCACAGCCTGGACACGGGGTCACTGTCCCATGGTCTGTTCCCACTCCTGTCCTGCAGGGCTGTGGTTCCTGGCCCAGGACACACCTGCAGGAGTGCACGGGACACACCTGCAGGACTGCATGGGACACACCTGCAGGACTGCACGGGACACACCTGCAGGACTGCTGGCCATGCACACACACCTCAGATCCCCGTGCTCAGGGTGTGACCAGTCCCTGCTCCCCCTGGGGACACACAGGCACAGAGGGGACAGATCCCATTCTCTGGCCACTCTGGGTGTGACTGGCTCAGCTCCTCTCCAGACACCCCAGGCCACCATGTGGAGGTGACAGCTCTGTGAGGCCACTCCCGGTGGCAGATGTCTCATTGTTTTGCCATTGTCTCATTGTTTTGCCGTTGTCTCATTGCTTTGCCATTGTTTCTCATAAACAGAAGAACAACAAACTCCCAGGCATTCCTTCCCTGGAGATGAAGCCTCAGAAATCACCAACAACACAGCACTGGATACCCTGCACGGGATGGTTTTTCCCTGCTGCTGGACACAGCAGGTTGGGAAAACACAGAACCTTTCCCCCTGGGTTTTCAAGTCCATATAATGACTCTCTGTGGATGCTTGAAAGACCAAGCATGTAAAATCTTTGCCAAAAAACCCATTTTGTAGTGTCTTGAATTTCAAACCTCCTGCTAGAGAAGAGTCTCTTTAACAGCTGGGGAGTGAAAAGGAGCAGGGCTGCTCAGAACTGGGGTGGTGGTGGAGATCCTCAGGAGAGCCACTGGGACACTGCCAGGCTGGGTGTCCATCAGTCCAGCACAGGAGGGGCAGCAGGCACCAGAGGGGACAGATCTGTGACCCAAGTGCCCCAAGCCCTCAGTGTGTGACCCCTGGAGCAGCTCAGGGCAGCAGGCTGGGGCAGAGCCCACCTCACTCTGTGTTTATAGCACAGATTTTGTGGCTACACCCACCAGAAATGCCACAGCGAGACGAGCAGAGGCCAGGCTGGCAGAGCTGCATTTTGGCAATAATAAAGCACATCACAAGTTTCTTTCCCCTGTTGCTATGGGAGAAAATGAAGCTCGAGGGGAGTGCGAAGCCCCTGCAGGTGGAGGGGATGAAGGGGAGCAGTTCAGACGTCTGAGACTGACTCAACAGCAAAGAGTGAATCAAAATTCCCAGCGGTGCAGCTGGTGAGGAGCCAGCAGCCCCACTCAGGCTGCAGGAGCAGAGGCAGCTCAGAGCCTTGGGGGTCTTCAACTTCATGGACCTTCATGGCAGGGAGGGGATTTCTGCTCCAGGTCCAGGCAAGGAGCCTTAAACCAGCATTTCCCTTCCCAAGGGAAGGCTCAGCAGGGCTGAGCTTTGCTGAGCTCTGCCTGCCTGGCCCACACCCCTCTGCAGAGCCATGGGAGGCAGAGCTGTGCTTCCCTGCTGGCTCCCCTGGCAGCTCCAGTGGGAGCTGGTGAGCTTTGGGATGCACTAAAAGCAAGATAATCCAGCTCAGGCACGGGCCCCAGATGGGAGATGGTCCAGCAGAGCAGGCAGGGGGCAGGACAGGAGGGCAAAACAGGAGGGTGTGAGCTGGGAAGAGACAGAGAGATGTTTCTTTGGGCGTTTCCTCCTCCTCATCATCATCAGGTTGCATCGCCCCTTCTTCTAAAGGAGAACAAGAGCACAAAGCCAGAGCCAGAATTTCCCAGAAGAGGATGAGTCTGATTTTCTTTCTGCTTTTAGCTTTGTTTCTGCAGGCACAGGATGGGGGTGAAGGCCAAGCTTGCTGCATGTTCCCAGTTCTGGACTTTTCTCCCTGACAGGACCTCTCCCAAACTCTCACATCCCGAGCCAAGGGACCCGGCTCCCCCCTCCCACTGCCCGCCCTGGGACTGGGACACATCCCACAGGGTTGTGCCCTGTCCCCTGCAGGTCACCAAGCCCCGAGGCAGTGTCACACAGCCGGCCGTGTGTCCCAGCCTCGCCAGCTCAGCTCTGGCCACATCGTGGCAGCATTTATTCGTTTTATCCCGTGTTGGATGCTCGGCTGGCACCAGCAGACCTGCATCTCAAATCCTCCCGGTGCCTGGAGCCCTTTTGCTCCTGGATTTTGGGCTGGAGATGCTTCAGGGATTCAGGGAGTCGAAGCTGCAGAAGGTGTCACAGCCCATGGAGATGTGGCAGGAGAGGACGGGAGATCCTGGCTGAGGGTGGAATTACAGCACAGCCTGAGATAGGGGAGCCAGTGGGGCTTGTTCCATGGGCTGGGAGAGCAGCAAACTCCTGCAGCTCTTTCTGTGCTGCCTTTAGCTCAGGGCAGGTGATATTAGCCCTGGGAAAGCTCCTGGCCAATCCTGTGCTGTCACCAGTGCTGGTGCTCGGCTCCATCCAGGATCTGTGCACAGCTGGGCAGGGCAGGAGGGGGGGATCAGCAGCTGCCACCTCAAGATGCCAACCCTGCATCCCTGCAGCCATGTCCTGCTGTCCTTGTGATGGCAGTGAGGGAGGACAAACCTGGGACTGGCTCAGCTGGGCAGAGCCTGGTGCTGAAAACGCCGAGGTTCAATCCCTGGATGGGCCATTCACTCAGGAGTTGGGCTTGATCCTTCCAATTCCGAATATTCTGTGATTCTTCGGGGTGCAGCAGGAGGAAGGACACACAAGGTCACGTTTGCTTTCCCTTGCAGACAGCTCTTCTCTGTTAGAGGCTTTCTGTTTTCTCCAACCTCCCTGTGGTTGTGTTAACAAATCACTTTTGGGGCCAGGTTCTCGCAGCAGGGCTGAGGTGTGAGCGTGTCAGAGCCCAGCACCTTTGCAGCTGATGTCACCTCCCTTGTCACGTGAGATGTCCTGGCTGAGACACCTGTCAGGTGGCACAGAGCAGCCTGCCTCACCCCCAAAACGCCACACGTGTCTCTCCTGGCAGGCAGGTGGCTCCCCGTGGCACTTTCTGCTCCTTAAAATGTGGAGAGGGCTGGGGTCTGCTGTCCCAGAGGTGCTCACGAGATGTGCTAAGAGCTCTGGGGTTTCATGATTCCTCTGTGGGCACATCTTTGCCAAAGACCTGGAGCCTCCATCCCCCTCCAAGGGCTGCCTTTGTTCCCAGAGGTGCCTCTGGCAGCTTCTGTCCCATCCTCCTTGCTTTCCAGGCTCATCTGGGAGAGGGATCAGAGCATGCAGAGCTCTGGGTGCAGCCAGGTCCCACCAGCAGCGTGGCTGCAGATCAAATATTCCCTGTAAAACCCTCTGGAGAAGTCACTGCCAGGAGCTTTTCCTTGGCCTGCACATCAGCCTGTGTGTTCAGAGCTTGTGGGAGAACTTCCATGCCAGCAAAAGTTGGGATTGAGCAAAGGGAGAAGCTCACAGGGAGCAGGAAAAGAGCAGGGAAAGAGAGATAAAGCACAGGGCCCATTTAGGAGAAATCGTGACACGTAAATCAGATCAAAAAATACACAGCTGCACCCAGGCTGCTTGGGGATGAATAAAATTCATGGGAATTACACATCATCTGCCCCCAGCCTCGGGTATACGCCCAGGTTTGTCTAAACCCAAAGGAAAGCCATGAAAACACAAGGATTCAGCCAAGCCCCAAGCTGGGGAAAGAGGGAACCTGGCAGGAACAACCCCCAGCTCTGGACAAGCAACAAGACTTCACCATTGCCCGGCCCCTGCCACCTCTGCTCACCCCCAGAAACACCCAAAAATGATCACAAAGGAGGTGATTTCATGCAGCTGCAAAATGCCCTCATGGGAAGGAGGGGAAATGTGGAATTCTGAAAAGAGCCACTGCAGGTTATAAAGCCATCGAACTCCAGTGGGGAAATCCAGGGAAGGGGAAGGAGGTGAAAAGAAATGGCCACAAGAAATGGACAAGAGCAAGAGAAGGAGGAAGAAAGGAAATAAAAGTCATCATCATCATCATCATCAGGACACAACAACAGGACGAGAGACAGAGCGCTTTCCATGGGCAGATCCCCGTGGAAAAGGAGCCACCGTGTCCGTGAAATACAAAACCCAGTGCCCTCCAGCTGGAGGGGGCAGCAGGTGCTGGGACTGGTTTGGCATCCCCTGGGGGCGAAGGGTCCAGTTAGGAGCAGAAAACCCTGCAAGGGAAAGGGGAGAAAGTGCAGCCTTAGAGGGAGCAGCGAGGAGCACTGGGATCATCCCAGCCTGGACTTGTGGTGCTGTGGGCAGGAGTTTACAGAGCTGTGGGAGGTGGGCAGGAAGGTGACCTTTAACCCTACCCACAGGTGGGAAACTGAGGCACTCTGAGAGAATCCAGACCCTGGAGTATGGGATTCCTTGGAGAAAAATTCCTACCAAACCTAAGGGATGTGGGGAATCCCATTCCAGGCACTACACAGGGAAGGGGTTTCACCCCAAGCTACCAAGGGCCAGCACAAGGAGCAAGATCCATGCAGCTGCCCAGCCTTTATCCTAAATAATCCTTCTCCTCAGCCAGGGAAAATCCCACCATGACCAAGCTGAGCAAATGGCAGGACTTGGTAGAGCAGAAACAAACACAGAAAATGTCAAGGCTTTTTTTTTTTTTTTTTTTTTCCTAACTTATGGATGTTTTTGCAACAGCAGGGAGAAAAAAAATCTGGATCTTTCCTGAAGGGGCATGGGGAGCTGAACACCTGGAGCCAGCCAGGTTCCCCTGCAGCTGGGGACAGTCACCCCTTCCTGTGGGTTTCTCCAGCCTGGAAGCAGGCAGCAGGCAGGACCTTTTTCCTTTGGATGGGATTGTCAGGTCTGAGCACATCCATGCAATAAATTGGGAAGCTGGGGAGATTTAGCCTAGAGAGGTGACAGCTATTGCAGAGGCACTGCCAGAGAAAAAATCCAGTGCCTTCCTCAGCCTCTGCTCCAAGGTGTGCACAAAAGTCAAAGCTTCCTTCCCCATTCCCCATCCCCCGGCCCAGGAGGTGACTGCAGGGGTTAAAACAAAGGTGCCAACTCACTCATCCGTGTCTTTTTTGCTCTCCTCGATGAACGCGATGGACTCGGATCTAAGGCGGTTTGTCACCTCGTACGTGCGCAGGGTGACTCCAAAAATATCCTCGTGGTACCGGCTGTCATCCTGGGAGGGAGGGGGGCACAGGCAAAAATGGGATTTGTAAAGGGTTGGTGTCGGCCCCAGCAAAACCCTGCGTGGTGGGGAGGCACCAGGTGCACAGGAGAGGGTTTGGGGTCTGTCAGGAGAGGGACAGGGGGTGCGGTGACATTCCCAAGGTGACACTTTGGGAACAGAGGAGCTGTTCCACGCCTTGGACTCCCTCAGCTGCTGGAAATTCCTGGCTGGCAGGGGCACAGCAGCCCCAATGGCACTCTGTGGACAGCCAGAGGCTCTGGGCTGCCTTGGGGTCTGCATGGAGGTGGGGCCGTGGCTCAGAAGGGGAAATCCCACGGGAATCATGCTGAGTTATCTCCCTGGGGAGAAGCAGAGCTGTTCCACCATCCATCCCAGGGCCTGTGTCCCAAACTGAGCTCATTTATGCTCCAGCTGCATCATCTGTGCTTGGTGTGGGGCGCACAGACAGGGAGATTTTGGAGATTTGAACCACCCTGATAAATTCATTTTCTGATGGAGGGACTTTGCAGGGTGAACAAGCCCTGCCAGGGATGCCCAGAAGTGCTGGCCCCAGTGCTCAGCACGCTCGTGACAGCAGCCAGGTGACCTCCCTGCACACGGGAACCTTTGGAGTGTCACCCTCTGACCGTCCCTGGGTGCAGAGCAGGCAGGGGCAGGCAGCAGGTGCAGTGCCCGTGGCAGGAGGTGGCAGTGGTGGCACACAGAGGTGATGGCACACACAGGTGGCAGTGCTGGCACACAGAGGTGGCAGTGGTGGCACACAGGTGGTGGCACTCAGATGTGGCACACAAAGGCGGCAGTGTCACCCTGCACACACACAGGTGACATTAATGGCACACACAGGTGGCAGTGTCACCCTGCACACACACAGGTGGCAGTGGTGGCACACACACACAGGTGGCAGTGTCACCCTGCACACACACAGGTGACATTGGTGGCACACACAGGTGGCAGTGT